CAGTCAATTTTGAAAGAGATGCATCTTAGCTCTGGAAATTGTTATTGAATATGTCAATGCTGTTGAAATGAAATGATTCTTCTAATTATATGGTTATTAAATAAATAATTTTAGGTGGCATTTCCTCCAGGTTCCAATTCCTGCTGCTCATTTCTGTCTGAGCCGTAATCACAATGGCTTTTTACCATCCATATTTCTCCCAATGAGCTGCTGGTCATGTACCATCACAGGGAATCTCTAGGAAGATTCAGACTTTCCCTCTAGCTCTCTTCTTCTGAGCCCAGGACTGTCCTTAATGTTCTGCTATTGAAAATCTAGACAAACCCTCTAGATCTACTCAGCAAATACACATTACCCATTTTGAAAGCTGGCTCACATTTCTAAGTATTTGTTACTGAAACAGCCCTACTTCTTGGTACCAATTTTTCTGTCAGTCTGTTTTCTGCTGCCATAATAGAAAATCATAAATGGGTAAATTATAAATAATGGAAGTTTAGTTGGCTCATGGTACTCAATGTCCAGGAGTCAAAGATCAAGGCTTGTGTCTGGAAAGGGCACTCTTGCTACACTGTAACATCAGAGGAGCTATCACATGGTTAGGCAGTCCACAGAAGAAGGGGGTGGGGGTGGGGGGCAAGCTCCTCTCTTTTAGAACAAACCCACTTCTGTGATAATGGTCTTTATTCATGAAAGCAGTACACCCAGATCTAACCAATTCTTGCAGGCCCACCTTTGCACTGTTTCAATTACTCAAGGGTTTCATAACATATATTCATATTTGGAATTTCATCCTGTTAGTCATTTACTTCATGCTGATATTCCACACCTTTAAGTATGAGTTTAATCATCTATAATATGTGTGGGTGCCTCAGCTAATACTTTACCTACAGCCGCCCAATCTCAACAATACTAGTTTTAAGAGATAATGAAAATGTATGGTGAGACTTGTTTAAATATTTAGAATAGAAGAGTTGCCATTGATGAAATATCACTAGTTTGCCACAACTGATCTACCAAATTTTTGGAACTAACCAGGAAGAAATTCACAGCAGTAAATGTAGCATGAGCATTTTTTTTTTCTTTCTTTCTTTCCTTTTTTTTTTTTTTTTTTTTTTTTCTTTTTTTTTTTTTTTTTTTTTTGAGACAGCGTCTTTCTGTAGCTGCAGCTGGCCTGGAATTCACTTATGTAGACCAGGCTGACCTTAAACTCACAGAGATCCACTTGCTTCTGCCTCCCAGGCATGGACCACCATACCTGGCTCAAGCTACATTTTCAAAGTTTAAAAGCTATTTGCATAATGAACTAAATCAAAAGTTGGCAAACTAGAGCCACAGGCTAAATTCAGCCCATCTACTTTTGTAAATAAAGTTTTATTGGAATGCATCCATGCTTATTCATTTACATATTTTCTATGGTTGCTCTCATCCCACAAGAGCTGAACTGGGTAGACGTGACAAAGACAATATGGCCCACAAGTCTGAAATATCTACTATTTGGCTCTTTATAGAAGCAGACTAATAACCCCTCCTGTAACTTATTCGAAGAAAAGGCATTTTTTACTATTATAAAAAATACATTGGAAAAAATTCAGATAAAATTTATAGCAAGTTTCTCATTTCCTTGATGATTCTTCAAATTGACTATTTTCATTCAAACCCATTCCTGTCCCCGCTCTGCCCTCATCACAGGTTCCTAGCTATCTTTAGAATATTCTATAAAAAGGAAGAGGAGATGAGGAAAAGGGGGAGCAATAGAAGGAAGAGGATGGAGGAGAGGAATAGGAGGAAGGGGAAGAAGAGGAAAGGGAGGTAGGGGAAGGAGAAGAGAAGAAGGGAAGGCAAAGGAGGAGGAGAAAGAAGAAAGAATAAAAGAGAAGAAAAGTTAGTCTACAACTAGGATAGATAAATGTGTACTTAGGGTGAACAAGGACCAGTATGTGAGAGTACTGTAGAGAATGGATGACAATATGATTAAGACACCCACATAAGTACTTTAGGAAATTTTAAAAAATACCAAAAAAAAGCCAATAAAAGGAAAATAAAATTATTTGTAATATATAGAAAATTAGCACATTTATAAAGCATAAAATTGGGCTAGAGAGTATGGCTCAGCAGTTAAGAGCAGCGGCTGCTGTTGCAGAGGACCTGGGTTCAAATCCCAGAACCCATGTGGCAGATAACTGCTCGTAACTCCAGTTCCAGGGGATCTGACACCCTCTTCTGTCCTCCTCGGGCATTGCATGACACCAGTGCACTTACATACAAGCAGGCAATACACTCAAACACATAAAATTAATAACAACAAAAATTTTTTAAAAAATCTGTTAGCATTACTCCTTTAAGAAAGCCTTCTAGTTACCTATCCAAACAAGCAAAGAGTCCAGATTTTCCTCCTACTGCACAGAGTACTTTGGGAGCACAACGAGGTCGTGTCATCAAGACTGTCTGATGAGAGAGTCTATGTTCAGGCATGAAGTGGTACTTCAGGGCTTCATTCAAAAGATGCTTACAAGTACGATCGTCACGAATAAGATGATTTGCTTCATACAGCCTAGTGAGAAACTTAACACTCAACAATGGTAATCGCACACTGTTCAGGAGCTGTGCTAAGTACTTCTGGCGTTCTTGTACATCATACTTGATCCAAGACTCTAATGCATAAAAAACGGTCTCTTCCGTAGCTACATTCAAGCAATCGTTGGAGACAATTTCATCCAAATCCGCATGTGTAAGCTCAAAAAACTCTTCTGTTTGACAAACAGATTCAAAATTCTGGCATATGTATTTAGTAGCTGCCAAATAAAGGTCATGACAACCATACGTCTCTGCAAAACGAGAAATTCCAATACAATTACCAGGATCAAGCTGGCTTTCAAGAAATGCACAACATTCTTTCAGGACAAGTTTTATCTGAAGTAGGTTTGCTGCTGGCAGGAGAGATTCAACTGTATCCTGAGAAATGAAGACAGTCCCTGTGTAGGCATATTCTACAATGGCCTGAAGTGCAGCCTCATCAATGCACTGAAACTCAACCTCACTGTTCTCTTTTTCAGAAAGGTTTCCAGTGAACATGGCTTTGAAATATGGGCTGATGCTGGCAAGTACCACTTTATGCGCATGAATTTTAACATCACCTACGCGAAGAACAATGTCACAGAGTTCGTGATGCTGACGAAGGAGATTCAAGCCCTGAAGAAGTTGTTCAGAATGTAAGTGGGTTAAATTAGCAAGCATGTAGGTCGGGGATGTGTGGTCCATCTACAGAAAAAGAAACATGACAGTTATTTCAGCATATAAATCAGATTTGTTGTTTATTTGTCCATTTGTTGGGTTTTAAACACTAAACACTAGAAAGGAGGCTTTTAGAATTAGAAGAAATTTAACAATTATATAATTCAACTCCTTTGTTACAGATCCTAGGAAATGGAAATTCAAAATGCTATACAAGTCTTAAACTACAAGGACTTTTAGGAGAAAACTTAGTGTTTCACTGTTTCTTTCAATTACACTCTGTCACTACAACAAAATGCAAACATATGGAGAAAAACTTGCTCAAAGCCAAATTAGCTACATGACTATTTTCTCAATAATAATAATAATGATATCAATAATGCCAATAAGAAAAAAACTTCATGCTAACTCAAATACTTTATATCCCAATTCAATAATTTAACAAAGGTATTATTAATTAATAATGTCAATTAATTCAACAACAAAAAAGGGGGAAAAAAAAAGACCGTGAATATAATCCAGTATTCTATAGTGAGGGCAACAGACTTATTAATATATGCCAGCCACTCAATTCTTTTTTGTTATTGTTCTGGTTCAGTTTGATGCTTTTGACATAGGGTCTTCTTCTGAAGCCTATGCTCCTCTGGAAGTCATGCTCCTCCTGCCTCAGCTTCCCACAAGGAAAGATTAAAGACATGGGATTATTATGTTCAGCTACCACTCAACTCATGATCATAAATTCAGATTATGCCTACTCAGTGTACTTCTGGCAGATGAAAAAGAATAAAAATAGCAAGAAGGGAAGGATAGGAAGAGAGGCAGTAAATACTGTGGCAGCCAGAAGAGGCGCCCAAAAGACATAGCTAATCCCTGGAACCTAAGAATGTTACTTTATTTGTGAGTGGGGGTGGAAGATTTTTCAGATATGATTAAAGATTCTGACATATGAAAAATTTCCTGCATTATGTAGGCAGACCTTAAATGAAATCATGTTACCTCAAAGAAAAGGAGAAAAAAAGAAAGAAAGGCAGAGATGATTGGATAGACAGAAGGGAAAAAAGGTGGAGAACAGAGATAGAGACTGGGATGCTGCAGCTGTACCTGAAGGAACGCTGGCAACTAGGAGCTGGAAGAAGGCGCTGACACTCATTTCAGAATGCTGAACTGTGAAAAATAAATCTTGCTCCCTACTGCAGCTGAATTTGGGGCACACAGCCCCAAATTTTATTGTCACACAGCCACAAGAAATTAATCCAGGGATATTTCTGAATGGTTCACAGCTGTTACTCAGAATAGACAAGAGGAACACAAGACAGCTATTTAGCTGTTTCTTCCCTTTATCAGTCCTTAAAACCAAGCTATGGGAATAACAATAAGGCAGATGATCTGGCTCTGTTTTATAGGAGTTACCAATTGGCATAGTTACCTGCAATAAACCTGCCCCCAGGTTCTTTTCTATATGATAATTAGGTACTGCCCTATAGTCGGATGATAGGATCCCCCTACCACATGTAAATAAAGCATACTATGAGCACCTATCAGCTGAAGCTTTGGCTGCTGCCTCCACCTTATATTTTTTCCTGACCCCCACTGAATAAATGAGCTGTAGCACTGAAACTGACTCCCGGAAGGTCTTTTCCATCTGTGCTCACAGCGGTCCTGACCCCGTTTGTTGCTTCTGCTCCCTCTGTTCTTGTGGGTTGGTGGCCAATAGCCCACGAGGGGAGGGAGAGACCCACACTGGTAGGACTGAGAAGTCACAGCTCTCCACTTCTGCCTGTTTTTAAGTAGACACATCAAAATATTGACATTCTTATTTTCCTCAAGAACATTATTCTCACATAGTTTTAAGTCAGTTAATAAGTTATGTTAATATGGCCACCATACAACTGATATCCTCCACATCTGATCTCTCCAAATAACCCTAAATGCATAAACCAAAATAATTCTCAGATTATGATTTCAATAATGGCATGAACAAGGCTAATGAACTTGTTGGTCTTCTAGTGTCTAGTTTCTTTCCGAACAGAATACTGGCAAGAAGACAGCAACAGAAAGGTCTAAGTTTAGATCTGGCTGCATGCTATTGCTTACTATGGTGTTGATTTTTTTCAAACTTCTTTCAGTCTCAATTTTACAGAAAACACATCTAGACTGAAAAGCGAAGACTGACAGTAAGAAACAGAGTTGATATAGACAACAGGCGACAGGGTTAAGAATATAGTCCTACTGATTTACATGGCCTACTTCATCTTTCATTTTCATTTTCTTATATGTACAATAAGATCACAGTAAAATCTCAACAACAGGCCTCACAAGGTTCCGGAGGATGAGATAATGAAAACACAATAAAGTGCAAGTGATATAAAATACAGGGTACGATGCTAAGGTGACTGGAAATAGAATGACTTCAGTCCCAACTAGGTCATGTATTGTTTGGTGGAATTGGCACATTTCTTAATATAAGTATTAATTTTTTCACTCATAAACTAAGACTATGCTGGCCTCTCTCAGAAGAATGCATGGAGGTAACTTTGTAAAGCACCAAGTACCACATAAGGTTTACTTTATTAAATTATTGCTCCTCATGATCTCCATATTCACTCATTTGCATTCTTTTTCAAAGCAGTATTTAAGCCAATACTCAAGTAATTATTAATACTATAGCTCTCTACAAAACTTGCTATCTTCCAGGAATTTTCTTAGAAATCACTAGCTGCCTATAACATTTCCCTTTTCATCCTCCTTCCCTTTAATACAAATTTTCAAAAGACTAGGTCAAAATTTATTTGGGCTGGAGACAGCTCAGTGATTATGAGTATGAGGTGCTCTCACAGAGGACCTGGGTTTGATCCCCAGAAACCATATGGTGGCTGACAACTGTTCATACCTCCAGTTCCAGGGGACCCGATGGCCTCTTCTGACCTCTGCGGGGATTGCACAACATACGTGCCTTTATATACATGCAGGCAATACATGCATACGCATAAAATAAATAAAATATTTTAAAAAATCTAACTTTACCTAAAAGCCTATTCCTTTATATAATTAACTTAATATGTGTTGCAAATTTGTTTTTTATAATTTTTAAATAAATTTTATTTATTATTTTTATTTTATGTGTATGCGTGTATTGTCTGCATGGAGGTAAGTGCACCTGTGTCGTGCAATGCCCACGGAGATCAGAAGAAGCTGTTGGATCCCCTGGGACTGGAGTTACGGACAGTTGTTTGCTGCCATGTGGATTCTGGGATTTGAACCCAGGTCTTCTGCAAGAACAGTGTTCTTAGCCACTGAGTCATCTCTCCAGCCTCCTATGTGCTGCAAATTTGTAAAACATCACCTCCACTCTCATTTGTCTGATTAATGAGGATAGAAATATTCAGACTGAACAATGAACTATGGAATGGAAAATAGGGGAGTTGAAAAGGAAGACCTAGATACTTTCTAAGACCACATTTTTCCCAGACTAAACAATTACATTCTAAGATACGCACAAAAACCTTCAAATAAGATTCCTGACCAAATACCAGAGCTGCAGGACTACACTCCTCAAAAGCAAGATATGAGCAGTCTGAGAACATTCACCTCGCATCTTAACTTCAGGTAACATTCTAAAATTATTAACGATTTGATTCACAACTACCTAGAAAGAGGATGAAGAGATCTCTGACACTACTACAAACGAACCAATAATAATAGGACACATCAGAGATTTGTTTCTCTTTACAATTTATTTAGACTTGTAGATCAGGCAAGTATTTCTTATGTTTAATTGGATGCTAGTAAAGAATTTAATAATTTCCTTCATGATTTTGAAAACAAATCTAAAAATATTACTTAGTATCTAGGTAGGTAAATTAGCAAATGCCCCATGCACACTACTGGATGAGTGAGAACTGGAAGGCTGTTTCTAGTGGTGCACTATCAGGCCAAAGTGACAGTGCTAGGATAGAGCCACTTTATAGTGATCATGCAGTGCCAAGGGTAGCAAGACACTGAACAACAAATTAAGGATCCTAAAAGATGCAGCACTTAACAAAAAGAATTTTGAGAGGGATAAAATGGAAACACTTAAAAACATCTAAACAACCACAAAAGAGAGAAAAGACTAAACCACAAGACATGTTTTAAGGGTTTAGGGATTTTAATTTCAGTGCTACTTTAATACCCTACGCTTATGTGGGTTTAAGCTATATTAATAGAACATAATACATAGAACATTAGAGAGGAGAATTTCACTTTGTTCTGGAAATGTCAGTTCGCATCAGGTGAACAGATTTTAAATATCATCCTTTAAAAGGAATTGAAATAAACTATATTACCCACTTTAAAGAATTCAGATTATGTCCTGTAGGTAATGGAACTGAGGGTACTGAGTCTAGAGAAAAGGAAATCTGAAGGTCATGTGCGGGCCAGGAGATAAAAGCTGCTCGATTATAAGAGCTGATTTGAAGATTAAATGACTTATACATATGAAGTGCTTAGTATCTGTCAGTAAGGTCTTGAAGATTTAGTACTTATGAATGTTTTGAGTTGTTTGCCTGAATGACATTTAGCCTTCTATGCTGTTCTATCTCTTAATGTTAGATAAGAAATTCATTCCAGGGTTTATGGTGGTAGCTTACTGGTAAAGCACTTGCCTAGTACATTCAAGACCTGGGCTCTATCCTCAGTGTTAGAAAGGAAAAGATAAACAAAGAAATTCTCTCTACCACTGACACCCTGATAACAACAAGGTATCACAGAATTGTTGATTCTCAAATCAAGTTATTGGCCAGATTCACTTTTAGTACAAATAGTAATCATACAGTGAATGAATTTATATTAAACTGATTTTTGTGTATCTAATTCAAATGAACATTTTACATACAGTATGAAAGTATAACACAGACTTGTAAACACACCTATGTACATACACAACATATAAATACACACATGTGGTTAACATCACAGAGATCTAAATATAGAGGACAATATAAGACACTAGCTCTAGGATCAGGCTGCCCAGGTTATAATATTATCTG